ACAAAAGCTACCTGTCATCGCAGGAGATCCCTAAGCTTTTACGAGCCTCTTTTGCGTGGGGTTGGATGCGCTTGCAGATCTTCCGGTTGAAATCTCAACACCAGTCACAAGCCACAGGGTCAACGTTAGGATTAACACTCCCCGGCTTGAAGGGTGACACGGTGTCCCATTGAAGGAATCTTGCATGTTGGAGAAACCGCGGCCAAATTAATTCGTCAAGTGCATTGATTTAGGGTCACCATTCGGACCCAATCCAGTTCTGTTGTTTTGCGATTCGAGCAGCACTCCGAACGGATTTTCTTGTGCTGGGCCCCATAGGCTCGATGGGTTTCGAATTCGATCATGAGATCCGCAACGATGAAGCTCTGAACGCATTGCGGCCATTGGCTCACGTCTGGTCGTTGGGCCCTCGACTTAGCACTGTTTTTCATGGATTCAGTCAAAATAAATATGCGTCTGGATGGTGGTCGCCAAATGTGTATTCCATACAACGGCTCGCGATCCCTTTTGCAAGACGTTTGTTGGGTGTTACAAACCGAAGAAGAACCGTTGGCTTCCTAATCCCGTGTGTCAGTGAAATTGACTGCTCACTTTGCCGAATGGCACGATAGCCGATTGGCGAGAACTCTTGGCAGGTGCTTCCCTTGGCGCTGTCAAAGAATTTCGACCTGGTCGCTCGAGCGTTGGCACTCAGCGCGAGGAGTTGTGGCTGTGAGTTTTGAGCGAAAGGATACCGGAGGGGCCCCTTGGCACATCAGGTTCGGATGGTGAGATTCCGGGTGTTTGGATGCCCGCTCGGGACTCTCCTTGAGGTTCCCGTCCAAGGAGTTCTGGCCAATTAACATCGTCATACATCATTGTGCTGGGTATGCCATGACCCCTTCACCCAAGGCACCAGCAGAGTAGCAGGGGCAGTGCGCCAACAACCCCTCCCCTGTTCACACTGCCTGGCTGGGTAGAAGTATTTATCAGTCTAGACCTATTGGCCACTGCGTTTGAACCAAGCCCGAAGGCCAGTGACACGCAGCCGGATCTTTGGGCTTTGGCATCCCGGGGGAAGCTTTAGAGCAGCCCTTTGCTTCAGGCCTCAGTGAGGCCCTGCACCCACACTCGAGGCACACGGGCACGGGGAAGACCTTGGCCTTCCTCATCCCCGCGGTGGAGGCACTCGGACTTGAAGTCTGCATCAAAAAACAACCCAAGCGCTTTTCACGAGTTTAACTGGGTCTGAAATTGAATTAGGGACCCTTCGGTGGACATCATTTAGGTGGGGGTCCATGTCCACCAACTGGAGGGGTTCCCCAATTAAATTCATAGCCAAATGGACTGGCTTGCTTGCAAAGGCTCTTGCAAACAGTTTTAACAGGTTGGTTCACAACCTGAAATCAAAGAAACATGAGAAAACAGAGGTGGAATCACACTGGCAGGCATGATGACCCGGCAACCAAACTTCCAGCGTTGCTGGAACATTCCGAATGCCCCTCATCCCGCCCTCTCCCAACCAGGAACAGAACTCGCACAGCCTTTTGCGTGGGAACATGCAGTGGAAACAAAGACATGCCCAACAAACATGCCGAGAAGCACGCGGTGGAAGCCGACCTTAGTTCATTGAGTGAGAACCATCGCAAAGGCGAGCATGTTGAATATGCACCAATCGCGTGATCTACTCCCTTTCAGTGGGTTCAGGTGTCCCATGACCGCCTTAGCTTTGTAGAATCAAACGAAAGATGCTTGGTTTCCTGTTGGTTCCCTTGTAAAGCCATATCTGCACAGGTGTCTGACAATGACAATCCGACCAAATGCCTACCTTAAGAACTCTGAAACACTGTCTCCTAATTTGATGATTGAAGGGATCCTTGTTACGCAAATGCCCAAGCAAGGGCCATGGCACCAAAAAAGGGTCGACGTCTGGCACAGCTGAATGGTCTTTCTTGTTCTGCGAAAAGGAGCCCTGAGAACTATCCATGGATCCTCACTCCCTGAGTTCCTGCACTTCAACTTTTTGGGAAGACCATCTTAGTGGTAAACGGAAAGTTTGACCTTGTTTGGCCCATCAACTTGGGATGTGAGATGATCCTTCCGCATGCCCACTTGTTCCCGGCCAGAAGATGTTGGCCAGCCCGGGCCATGGCGTGTGGAAGCCCAGATAGGGATCGGATGGGTGGGTTTTCGTAGAGGGGAATCGGGAAATACCAAGCAAAGGAAAGTGGCGGGTGCGATAGGTCGGGAATGACCTCGACAGGTAGGGAATGAGAAATGGAAGGAAATGGAATGAACAAACTTGCTGCTGCGATAGGGAATGACCGAGTCCGGGTGTTGGGACTGAGCCGGTTTCGGTGATGTCTTGGATGATTTATACGGATCATTCCAATTCTCATTGCCTGCTGAGAACCAGCAACGGGAGAAGCGAACCAAGCAGACTTGCTGAGAGAAAGCATGGGGGCTCTTTGTGTTGGGGCCTTTAGGATCTGACAGATGGGCAACATCGCACCTGTACCTGGAAGACAGAAAGCCTTGGTCCCAGATCTGTCCGTTCTCATGCACAATGCAGCTACCACTTGTTTCAATCTGTCTTTTGTTCTGCCCGGCCGTGCCAGATATCGGTTTTGGTCTAAATGGTACTCCTGGCAACGGCGTAGTCCAAGGAAGGCACTGACTTTGAGGTGCTGGCGGTGAGACACTGTCACAGAACATGGTCAGCTTGTAAAGCCTCTGGGTCTGACAGGGCTGATTTCAATTGGTCACTTTGTGTTAGGTCTTTGGGCACCTTTCGGGAGCATACTACAAAACTACCGTCTTGAGACCAAACAGGTGACAGGTAGTTTTGATACATTCATGGGAGTTGGAGTAGATATCAAGTTAAAAACAGGTGGCGATGCACCCAGAATTTGCCATTGTCGCGTGCGCGCGCCAATTGCTGGCCCGCTGTCCGCCTAGCCAGCCGCGAGTAGAGAACTCGGCCTTGACTTGAAGGGCGCGCGCCCAAGCGTACTAGAGCCAGAATCGGACCACTGGACATGCCACGACAAGCTCTTGCTTCAGCAACGGCCACTTTGGATGAACAGACCTCAGTTTTGGATTGGGGCGATCCGTGGCTGGTCTATCTGATGCTTCCGTTCGTCAAGTACCAATTGAGACAAGTCCGGATGACAAGCTAGGACACAAGGCCCCATCTCAAACATTCTGGTGTTTCGCCGGTTTCGTTTGAACAGCCACCCAAGGGTTCAAATTGAGACGCCGCACGACAGCAGCCGGAGCCGCCGATTCGCTTGCCGATTCTTTTTCCCATGGGCAGTGGCAGCTCGGGCGCTGGCCTAAGACGGTACCGACCCTGGGGGTTGAATGCATGAATTCCATGTTGAGACCACAGACAAAGAAGTCTACATAGGCGAGACTTCAAGCCGAGCTTCTGAGTGAAATACAAAACCCAGTGAATCGATAGGGTTAAAATAAACACAATAAACTATACCTGCTACCCGATGCCCTTTTTTATACAAGAGGTTTCGCAAGTTGCTCATGTGTATATTATATATATATAGATACTATATACACATGCATTAGTATTAGTAGTGTCATTATAGTTATTATTATTGTCATCATCATTTGTTGTTGGTATTAATTCACATGTTGACGTTCATTGTTATTATTGTTATCTTGTATTGTTTATTATTATTGGTACTAATTATGTTTATTTGTTAGTTTTTTTTATTCTGTATTGTTCATCATTTATTATTACAATTTCGTATGTTTATTATTATTATCATTGTTATTAGTAGTAGTAGTAGTAGTAGTAGTAGTAGTAGTAGTAGTAGTAGTAGTAGTAGTAGTAGTAGTAGTAGTTTTATGTTTATTTTTACTATCATTATGATTTGTTATTATTACTGTTATTTAAACTATTATTATTGTTATTCTTATTTATTATCCATTCATTGTTAGTTAGCATTATTATCCTTATTATTATCCCGGGGGGCAAAAGCTACGATGGCTTTCCAGAAGGAGAGTCTTCCAAAAGTAAGTTGCACACCTCCATTGGGAGGCTTCAACCTAAGCAACCGAGCTTCTGCGGAAGCTTTGATTGAAGTGTAGAGGATTGCCGATGTCTCTGTTTGGCGGCGATCTTTCACGATCTTGTTGTCAGGGCGACACCAGGCCGAGTGAATCTTCATGGCATTGGACCGCTTGCAAGCTAGCCACTCTACAAGCATGCAGACCAACGCAAGTACGAAAGTGATTCAGACACCCGGATGGCCCTCTTGTAGCAGACTCTTGCTTACACATCCAGGCTTGCATTTGTGCCGCTCACTGGATGTTAGGAGTGGTCAGTGAGAGATCTTGGTCCTTTTGATCAGGCGACTTGTGAACCCAATGTTTATAACCCTTGTTGGAGGAACTCCATGACAACATTCCACCTTGTCACAGATCCTTAAAACATGACGGGGGGAGCTGGGGATGGCGGGCCGCATTGCTCTCAGAGAAAGCCTGTCTCAAGCCAAGAAATTGACCCTAAAGTTCCAAGGAAGTATGGCAACAAAGCTAGAAGGGCAGTCTTTGCTGAAAAACAACATGTTCCAAAGCCCTAATCAGGGGACCACAGGTTTTAGTCCATGTTTACATTTACCAGGGCAATCGATTTTGGGTATCTATGTTTGACCGAGGTCAACCATATAGGCCTCTTCTTTGCGGGTACCCTTTCTGGGGTTGGTTTAAGATTACAAGGGAAACCGAAAGAAACCGCCCATTTTTCGGGTGTGCGATTCCAAAAGAAGTCGAGCCACTCCACTATGGTGCCCGCACAGGTCCCCGTTTCATTTTGTTTCATTTGCGGACAAGAGGTTCTAGCCGAAACACTCCCCAAAAGAAGACGAGCCTCCCATACCTAGGGTTCAACCTCCAGGGTTGACCCAATTTGGATGACAATCCTCAGGAGAACAACGGTGGTTCTATAAACCCTGAACCCCAGGGTAGTATCAATTTCCACGCAGATCCGCGCGAAGGAACGTGGCAGCAATGATCACCCAGGTCTCCAAACAGCCGTGTTACCTTGTTTTTGAAGTGGCCTGAGAGCAGCAACAAACGCTGGGCCGGCTCAAACAGACAATCGCGGAAGAAAAAGGACGCCCACTTCCCTGATGGTCATCCCGTGTCTATGGCACCTTTTTGATCAACCCCTACAAAACCTCAAATTGTTTGAGGGTCTTGGGGGTTCCACGCCCTCATATTTTTTCGGGTCTTCCGAACGGGGTCCAAACGAACAACCACCAGTCGCCCCGAAGCCCCAAACACCCGCTCGCTTTTCGCTTGGGCCGAGGCTGCCGCCAGGCGCTGGAGGCGGCCAAAGGGTTGGCGGCCAGCATCTACCAGGTGGCGCAAATCGACGGCACCGCCGCTCGCGCAGAGCGAGTGGAGCGAGCGGAGCGAGCGGAGGGAAAGCGGGTGGATTGGGGGGGCGCCCCCCGTCCCGATTTTTTTGTGTGTGGGGGAAATGGCTTCGGTGTCTTTTTGTCGGTTTGATAAACCACCGAAAGTGGGTGAGGTGGGGGGGCAGCCTCAAAACAGAGGTCCTGTTTAGGTTGGACCCCCCAGAATGGATTCGGTTTGGTTCCCTTGTAAACAGCCCAAAATGGGGGGGGAACCTGAAAACGGACACACCCTGTTCACTTCACCAGATGTTTCGTTGGCAAGTTTTGTCAGCTGTTCTTTTCACAGAACTTGACGAGTTCGATAAGCTAGCTGCGAAAGCTGGGGGCAGTCGTTCCAATTGGCCGCGGATGCGCATGAGCCCACGTTGAGAGTTCAGGCCTCGAGTGGTTGTGACTTCTTGCCACACTCGACATTGAGCCAGATCAGCCTTCGCCCCAGAGTGATGTAGATAACTTGGTGGCTCCCAGCCATCCCCTTAGCTGTTTAGCTGTTTCTAAAAGTTTAACTTTTGGCGAGGGATCTGAGGGCAGCGCAGATAAGGAAATCAGCGTGAATCTTCCAAACGACGCGAGTGCGCGTGACTTGTACCTGGCGGTGGCAGCTCAGCGGGGCTTGCCCGTCTACCAGTTGAAGCTTGTTGTGACTAATTTGGACTTGGCACACCTTGTAATTTGTTTAGGCACCCCTTTGATACTGTGGATGGAGGAAATCCAATTCGCACCACCTAAGAAACCCTGGAATGATGATTTCCCTGTAAAATGCCAACGAACAACAGTTTTTTCCCCATGGTTTCAAAGTGGTGCATCGAAGGAGTCCGTCCATCAGTACGTGCCTATCCAGTTTCTGGGGTGTTTTCTTCATGCGCGAGCTTCAGGTGAAGGGGCACAAGGCGCCCCTGCCCTCCAACGACGTGAAGGTGGCCGACGCCGTGGCGGGGGAGAGGGATCTGCTGCTGGTGGTGAGCGACGGCATTTCCCTGGGCTGGGGTCTCACGGAGGACCGCTGCGCGTTGGAACACAGCGCCTTTCAGCACTACTCCGTGCCCGCCTTCGGGCTCTGTGCCTTGGATGTTTCAAGGCCAAGAAAGTCCCAGGTTGGGGGACCCGGTTTACGTACCCATAGGCATTGTGGATAGCTTGGCTGTAGAGTGTCGCTCATTTTTTCAGTACTTGGGCTGGATGGGGTTCGTGGGGGGGATCAAAGGACGCTACATGTGGGCTGAAAAAGAACCCTGCGCCTTTTCGGTATGTAAGGGGCCGTCCCTTATTTCGCAGGCCAAAACCATTGTAAACCCAAAAATCAACGATCATGAAGACACACATCAGGGCCAAGTTGTTGTCGCAAACCAAGATTGCGGAATCATAAATTTGCAGTTCCGAAACCGACACCCAAACCGATACCCAACCGATACCCAACTCATTGGCCGCCATGCCGAATCCAACCAGCTGCCCTGCAGCCTTCTCTGGAGCTGCCAAAATGTACTTTGTGCACTACATGTGTACTGAAAAGTTGCGACTTCCGCTGTGGAGCTGCCAAAATGTACTTCGTACACTACACCATACTACACTTACTTGCACTGAAAAGCTGCGACTTTCGAGCCGGAACTGCCAAAGTGTGCTGCGCATACTACTTAAAAGTTGCGACTTTCCAGCTGGAGCTGGCTTTCCAGCTGGAGCTGGGAGGTGGCAGAGTGTACTTCGCATACTACACT